CAGATGTTAGCTCAGGGCCGATCTTCCTCACAAACAAAAATAAATAAATAACTCTTCAACTGGTGCAGCCTCTATGGAAAACGGTATGGAGATTCCTCAAAAAATTAAAAATAGAAATACTCTATGATCCAGCTATCCCACTGCTGGGAATATATCCAACGAACCTGAAATCAACAATCCAAAGAGGCTTATGCACCCCTATGTTCATTGCACCCTTATATACTATAGCCAAGAAGTGGAGGCAACCCAAGTGTCCCTTGACTGATGATTGGATCAAGAAAATGTGGTGTATATATATACAGTGGAATACTACTCAGCCATAAAAAAGACAAAATTGTCCCATTTGCAACAACATGGATGGACCTGGAGGGTATTATGCTAACTGAAATAAGCCGAAAGAGAAAGACAAACACTGCATGATTTCACTCATATGTGGAATATAAAGCAACACATGGTCAGAAAGAACCGTATTGTGGTTACCAGGCGCAAAGAGGGTGGGGGTGGGCACAAGGGGTGAAGGGAGACATATATATGGTGATTGACAAACAAAAATGTACAACCAAAATTTCACAATGTTATAAACTATTAAGACATCAACAACAACAAAAAAAAACAAAAAAACTCTTCAACAAAGAGATTCGGAGAACATCTGGACTGGTGAACTTATCAGGTGCTGGGAGGATGAAAAGCCCAGGGAAGGCATGGAAGCTCCAAGCCCCTCCTCTGGTATCTTGCCCTAGCATCTCCTCTATGTGGCTGTTCCTGAGTTGTATCCCTTATAATAAACTGGTAAACATAAGTAAGGTGTTTATCTGAGTTCTGTGAGTTGTTCTAGCAAATTATTGAACCTGAGCCTCATTGGGGGGTCACAGGAACACCAGAATTTGCAGTTGGCAAGGCAGATGTGTGGGTAGGCTGGGTACTCCATTTGGGGCTGGCGTCTGAAGCAGGAGCAGTCTTGTGGGACTGAGTCCTTAACCTGTGGGGTCTGTGCTAACTCTGGGTGTCAGAACTGAATTGCTGGACACCCAGCTGGTGTCACAGAACTGAAGAATTGCTTGCTGTGGACAAACCACACATTTAGTGCCAGAAGTGGTGTCAGAGGAAAGAAAACACACCTTTATAATGTATATATTAATACAGTAGAACATACAAAATTCAGAGTGTGCAATGAAAAAAGCTTGGAGATGACTGCTCAAGAGGATCAAATGAAAATTATACTAACTGTAAGAGAATTCATAGAGGCAGTGTAAAAAATTAATTATAAAATTCCACAGCTTTCACAAATATAATCAATAACCATAGAGAAAATATCATGGAAGAGAAGATCATTTACATCAGAAACAAAGAAGATGAAATACCTAGAAATAACCTTGGTTACACAAAATAATATATGAAAAATGGAAAAGCATACATTATTCCTGGAGAAAAAGACTCATATAAATATCAAAGCTTTAATTCTCCCTGTTTATAATTAACATGACTGAAAAATACCAATAGCAATTTTTTGTCTGTGGTTTACTTTAAAGTAATAGGAAAGGAGGTGAAAAGCAGCAGAATATACCGCCCCAAAATATGCCACTTTGGCACAAAGATTACTTTGAGCTGAAGACAAGTGAGGGAAGCAGATACAAAGAACTATTTGCCTAAAAGTAGGACATAAATTTGTAAAGGTGTTCCCCTTTGCCTCTGTATCAGCAAGGACAGAAATTAATCACCAGAGAAAAGTCTAGATCCTTATCCATCCAGAGTCAGCACCAGAGGAATCTATATAATAAACTTAGTAACAGCCCTTATATTCCATTAGTTTTCCCACATATTTACCTTCCCACAATTTGCTGCCCTAGAAGTGCAAAGCGCTTTTCCTTTGTCTTGTCACTTCTCTACAAAATCACTGTGTTTGTTAAGATGCTATATAAGCTCAAGTTCTAAGCATCCCTTTGAGTTACTCATCACTGAGTACTCCTATGTGTATGTGTGTTGCCCATGTTAATAAACTTGTTTGTTATTCTCTAGTTAATCTGTCTTTTGTCAGTCTAATTTGTAGGGCCTCAGCCAATGAACCTAAGAAGGGTACAGGAAGTTTTTTTTCTTCCCCTACAGGGGAATATGGTGGTAGAGCAGAAAAAAGATAAGCCATTATTTGGTAATTGATGAAGCTGGGCAATATGCACACAGAAGTCATCATACTGTCTGCCTAGTTTTGTACATATTTGGAACTTTTAAAATAAAAAGTTTGGGGCCGGCTCGGTGGCGCAAGTGGTTAAGTGCGCGCGCTCCACTGCAGCGGCCCAGGGTTCGCCCGTTTGGATCCCGGGCCCGCACCAACGCACCGCTTGGCAAGCCATGCTGTGGCGGCGTCCCATGTAAAGTAGAGGAAGATGGGCATGGATGTCAGCCCATGGCCAGTCTTCCTCAGCAAAAACAGGAGTATTGGCAAATGTTAGCTCAGGACCGATCTTCCTCCCCCCCCCAAAAAATAATAATAATAAAATAAAATAAAAAGTTAAAAAAATACCAGTAGTGATTTTTACGGATCTGAGCAAGCTGATTTTTACCTACATATAGGGAAAAAAAAGCAAAAATGGCAGGAAAGGGGCAAGTACTGAGCAGAAGATTGTCCTACAGGATATTAAAAGATAGAATAAAGCCTCGATAATTAAATCTGTGGCACTGACACATGAAAAGAGAGAGAGAGAAGAAAAGAATAGAATAGTAAGTCTAGCTACAGACCTAAATATAGGCAGAGGAATTCTATATATGATAAAGATGTTGCATTTCAATCAAAGGGAAAAGACAGACTGTTGAATAAATGATGTTAGAACATCTGGTAAATCATCTGGAAAATAATTAAATTGGCTACTTAGTTTCTACCTTACCCTAATCCTGATGTACTCAAGATTTAAATGTTAAAAAAACACATAAATACTAGAAGCAAGAATAATCTATAACTACCAGGAAAAATATAGTTCTCACAAATATGAGCAAAAAAAGCCAAACACAAAAGGCATACATACTGTATGACTCCATTAATAAAATGTTCAAAAACAGACAAAGCTAATCTATGATGTTAGAAGTTAGGCTAATGCAGGGCCAGCCTGGTGACATAGTGGTTAAGTTTCACGCACTCCGCTTCGACAGCCTGGGGTTTGCAAATTCGGATCCCGGGTGTGGACCTACACCACTTGCCAAGCCATGCTGTGGCAGCTACCCACAAACAAAATGGAGGAAGACTGCCACAGATGTTAGCTCAGGACCACTCTTCCTCACCAAAAAAAAAAAGAAGTTAGGCTACTGGGAGAAGTAGGGAGAGTGATGGTGATTGGAAAGGAGCATGAGAGGGGCTTCTGGGATGCTGTAATATTCTGTTTATAGATCTGGTTACTAGTTATACAGGTGTATTCAGTTTGTGAAAATTCACTTAGGATATGTGCACTCTTCTATAAATATATTATACTTCAATAAAACTTTTATTTTCAATGTACTAAAAGAAAACACAGGAGAATTATTTTACAATCTCAGAGTGGGCAAGGCCTTCTTAAGTGTAACATCCCAGAAGCCATAAAAAGAGTTAATAAATTTCACTACATAAAAATAAATTTCTGTATAGTAAAGAAGACCAACAACCCAACAGAAAATAAAGACCATGAATATACACATCCCAGAAGGGAAAATACAAATAGCTCCAAACATACTAAAATATGTTCAACCCCATTTATAATAAGAAAAACGCAATTAGTATGACAAGATACTTAAATTGGAAAAGACCAAAAAGTATAGTAAAACAGCAAATTGGTAAAATTGTGAGGAAAAAGGCAAACTCATACAATGCTAGTTGAGTATAAACTGGAGCAACCTCAATGGAGATTGGCAATAATTGTTTAAGTTAAAAATGCATATACTTGACAAAGCAATGTAACTTCTGGAAATTTATTCTACAGATACACTTGCACTTGTGCAAAACAATGGATGTACAAGTATATTCATTGCTGCATTGTTTCTAAGAGCAAAAGAGTAGAAATATCATAAATGTCCATCAACTGGAAATTGGTTAAATAAATTCAAGTAAATGCTAGAACATCTTTGCATGTACACTTAAGAAAATGGTAAGGATGGTTGATCTAGAGTGGAAAACTAGGTGGCAGGGGACCAGAGTTGAAAGACTGACTTTTCACTGCACACCTGTTGTACTTTTTGAATCTTGACTCATATATACCACCTATTAAAAACAAATTTTAAAAATTGTTTTAAGTGAGAGAAAAATGAGCTAGGGAAATATGCAGGGTCCAGCAAGTACGAGCCTAGCATGCTATGGTAAATAGTTGGACTCCATACAGAGGATAATGGGAGATTAGTGAAATATTTTAAGCGGGGAAATAAGAGTTCGATTTGTGCTCTCCAAACCACAGCCACCTTTAGGGATGACAACTTAACGTTTACATAGAACTTTAGATTCTGCACTATACTTTCATATTTATTATCTCATTTATTCCTCAGCTAAAGGAACTAAGATGCAGAGAGGTTATGCGATTTGCCTGCAGTCACTAAGCTAATAAATGGCAAAACCAGGTTTGGGTTTTTTTACTAACACACGATCCAGTTAAAATGCCATGTTAGAAGTTCCCTACTTAGCTCTCCGAGTCCTCGAACCTAGCCACACTCTTAACTATCCCACTGATGGAGATACATGGGGGCGACAAACCCGCAAACGCTTGAAAATATGATTATCTTCAGAATTAATACACAAGTAAAACTCTCACAAGATACATGTGATTAAGCACATGTGGAAAAAGTTCAAGAGACTGTAAACGTGGGAGCCAAGGTGTCCCAACTCTTAGACCAGGTGGCTTTTTCCTTCAGCATCCCCCAAATAAGCACAAGAAACTACAATACAGGGCGAAATGGGACCATGCCTGAAGCACCTTCTGGGGCAAAGTGGAAGGCGAGGCCGGAAGCCCCGGGCAAGGAGAGGGGATGAGAGAAGTCAGCCACCTACTCACACTCGTACTTCCGATTGACTGGAGGATACTTAGCCTTGATCGCCTTCTGCTCCTCAGTCAAGTTGTAATCTCTAATATCGTCCCCTTCCTGCGCCATGATTGCAGCATTAGACACTCTCCTTCCGCCCTTCATCAGCCGGACTTCGGCCCTGACATACAACTTCCGCTCTAGACTCCGCCCCTAGGCACAGACCCTTAAAGAACCAGCAGGACTCCATTCTCGGGGACGTACTTTTATACCTTAAGACTTCTGTCTGAGGCTCCGCCGCCTGGAGCACATGCTTAAAAGGCCAAGGCCCCATTTTCTGCGCTGGCTTCATCCATAGTTTTTTCCTAAGGACTAAGGCAATAAATTGGAGGAGCCAGGAGTAGGGGACACTTGAATTAGACACCCCTAGGTTTGAGTGATAGAGGCCTTTTCTCGCCGCCTCACCCCGAGTTCATAACTAGACCTGAAAGCATCCTAGACTTCTTATTTGAGTACTTTGAAAGGGTCCTTAGCTTAACAGCCTTTAAGAAAATGGCTGCCCCCAAGAGAGTGCGGACTAAAACTCTCACGTGACCCCAGGCAGGCGCACTCCCACGAGCCCCGCGCGCGCGCGCGCGCGCGCGCGATCGAAAGAAGTCGGCTCCGGGCCGTGTGGGGGCAGGGGCGGAGCGCGCGCCTTGGCCCCTCGAAAAGCGACTCCGCGCGTCTGGATAGGCTGCGAACACGGCTTCCCCGCCCACCTCGCCGTTCGGCGCGCTCCGATTGGTCAGTGTTGGCGCGAAGGTGCGCGAGTCGGCCCTCACGCAGGGGCAGCAGGAAACAATAGAGGCCGCGCGCGCAGAGCGAGTGCCCGCTGCCTCCCCGCCCCTCCGGCAACGCTCGACCCCGGGATCTCCGGCTCGCCTGTCCGCCATGGCCGACAAGGAAGGTGAGGGTGCCGGGGCCGCCCCAGGAGGGCAGGGGATGCCGGGCTTGCGCCGCGGCCTCGACACGGCCTAACAGCGAGGGCAGGCCCGACTCTGCCGAGTACCGTCCCCACCATCGAAGGCGTGAGGAGGAATCGCCCCGCGGGGCGGGCTAACGGCGCGCCAGCTCCTCGGGAGCGGAGGCCCGTCGCAGCGGCGTGAAGCTGGCGGTGGGGGCCGCGGCGGCAGTTTGCTCCCTCCCCGCGCTCTGTGTCGGTCTGCCCGCTTCTCCGGGTGCTGCCGGCCGCGCTCGTCCCCCGGGGGCCGGCGCTCGGGCCTCCTCACCGGGGCCGCAGATTGGCGCGTAGGCAGCGGTCTCCCGAGGCCCGGCGCCGTCGCCCGAGCCGCTAACGGAGCGTACGGCCGGGAGGACCCGAGCGCGGTTCCGGGCCCGCGAAGGTGGGGAGGCGTGTTGGTGCCTCCGCCTCGGGGGTATTTAGACACATCCCCCCATTTCAGAATCGGGACTCGGGCCGGTAGCTTTGGAAGTGTTAACTGAGTTTCCATTTGTGTTCGCTAACTTGATTTGTTTTTAACTTTTTAGCAGCCTTTGATGACGCAGTAGAAGAACGTGTGATCAACGAAGAGTACAAAATATGGAAAAAGAACACCCCTTTTCTTTACGATTTGGTGATGACCCACGCTTTGGAGTGGCCCAGCCTGACTGCACAGTGGCTTCCAGATGTAACCAGGTAATAGGAATGCCTTGAACGCTATTTTGTTGCGTCCTCAGTGTAGATTTCTCACGTTGATATTCCCTGTTTTCTTCTCGCCAGTCGCCGGTAGAAGGCACGTGATCAAAACCTATTGGTGGCATCTTTTCTAGGCAAAATGTAAAGTTATTTTGTAACTTACCTGATAAGGGGAAAACGTGTCGATGTTTTCTGTTTCTGGTACTGAGTTGAGTAGCCATATTATAACTAGTTGACCGGGTAATTAAAACATGTCAACTTTCATGAAGTATTGTGATGAATCCAGTTTTTTCAGCAAAACACTTGACTCTCTCATTGGTACTAGCTGGTTAATACAAAGATGAGTATAGACATGGTCCTGCCTTCAAGGAGCACACGTCTAGTTGGAAAGGCAGCTATAAACTAATAATTACAGTTATATGTGCTAAGAGCAGTTTTAGAGAGATGCTTAGAACTAACACCTGAAGGAGGGGTGGTTTATGTGTATGGGAGTTTACATGATGAGAAGTTATAATCACTTGTATTTCTTACACATGGGTAGCTTACTTCTAATAGAAGATGTAAAATATTATTTAATTTAGCTTGCGTTTGTTGGGGGTCCACTAGGTGTCACATATCAGGGGGTATAAATTTAAGTAAGACGCCTGCCCTTGCCTTGCTGTGTGTGTATAAAATGTAACAGAGTAATTATCATGAGTGGCACAGATAAAATGATCAGAGAGAAGAAAAATTACCTCAACTTGGGGTATTGGGAAGGGCTTCCAGGAGGAAGTAACAATGCAAAGATGAAGGTGAATTTAGATAATAGAAAGTTTTAGCAAAACCAGTGTGCCTGTTGGAATGATGAATTTTCTAGTGTGAAACTGCTTCACTCTTCAGAATAACATTTAGAAATTATATTGTGTGCTAAATAACTAAATTCACTCAAAACTCAGGTCTTCAGATGTCAAGATATTTGCAAAACATGGTTATTAGGCTATTCTTCAGCTCAACAAATAATAGAAATTTGATATAAATTTTATTGGTTAACTGAAGAATGAGGCAGTTACCTTCACAGTGACGTTAAAGAAAATGGGGAAATCTATTCTAAGGGTGTTAAACAGAACTGTAATAAATACCTAGACACTTAGGGTTGGAAGCTTCTTTATCATGACCAGGGGTTCCCATATTCAACTGATCATCAGAATTACTTGAGTTTGGGGTAAGTGGAGTCATTTCTGTCAGGAGTTCAGTGATAGTTCAAATGATTTAGGAACCTGTGGCAGAGTACTTGATGAGAAGTAGTTGAATGGTGATTCCAGATTTACTGTGATCATGTAATAAATTATGTATATTGGACCAGTGGATCCCAAATATTGGCCACCCCATACCTACTAAATCTGGAACCCATGTTCTTAAAAAGCTTCCCATATAATGTAGTGATTAACTAGGTTTGGAAAGCAATGAATTAGACTCAATTCCCCAAGGCTGGAATCTGCACTATCATGTTAGTAGCTTTCTACTTTAGCTGATCTAGGTAAATAAACCTTTCTGCAATGTGTGACATTAGTCTAAATACCTTGCTTTTTTCCTTCCTTTTTTTGGTATTTCTACTCACGTAACAATGTTAATTTTTTTAAGATGAGACTTACTTATAAGCAAGTATCCCTGATGCCAGGTGTTTAGTTTTTTGTGTGTTTATGTGTATTTTCATATCTTTTGTAAAAACAAAACACAATTGTACTTCTACAATTCTCTTTTTCCCTACCTCACTTCCTTTGGTTCTTTGTTTAACCTGAGCGTAAGCATTTCTAATTTTCTGTTGACCGCCCACTTTTCTTTCCTCTACTTTTTCTATGTAGGATATATATGGCTGTTACCTCTCTGCAAAGGAATTCCTATTAGTATCTCTAGACCCAACTTCTGGGCTCTTCCTGAATTTTCAGGTGCCTACTGGTGTCTTTGCAGTATCTTATTGGCTTCCCCAACACATGTTCTAAACTGCATGTGTTCTTTCAGTGGAGGTCCCACTTCACCTTTCTCCCTGTCATAGTTGACTTTGGTTTGACGTTTCGTAGGTTTTTCCCTTTCTCCACTTGACAGTCCATTTATAAGCCCTGATGAATTCTACTTGTGTAGCATCACAATCAGATAGAGAGATTGTAAAACAGATTGTTGAGTTCCTCAAGTGCCCAACTCGAGTTTCTGATTCAGTAGGTCTCTACAGTGGGTCTGGGAATTTGCATTTCTAGCAAAAGGTCTGATGTGACGCTGATGCTGTTGGTCCTGATACCATACTTTAAAAACCTCTGCTTTACGCTGTTAGATTAATCCATCTGAGATAACTTAAATGGTGCTGTGTCCCTTAGAAATTTTCCATAGTCCTTTGTCCCCTACAGCATAGAGTCCAGAATGCCTTACGCTGGTATTCAATACCCTAGAGTCTGATTTTAATCTGCTTTCTAGCCTTTTCTCCCACTGTGTTTTCCCATATCCAAAGTCAGATTTGGACTTGAGTCCTAGTTCTGTTACTTAGTGGTTGTGTGATCTTAGGCAAGTTGTTTAATTTTCCTAAACCTCCAGTATTTTCATCTTTAAATTGCAGTAATACTTCATAGTGTTATTATGGTGTTTAAATGATAGAAGGTATGTAAAGTGCTTACCATAGTGTCTGGCACTTTGTCAACCTTCCCTTTTGCTCAAATCCCTTTCCTTGGAATACTGTCTTCCAAAGCTTGACCCAAACTTCCAGGTTTTATCTCTCATTTTGAGAACTGCTCAGGTATCACCTCTTCCATGAACACTTTCTTATTCCAGAAGTAATCTTTCTTATCTAAACTCTTACATTCTTGTGTACTTTTCATATACTATGTATTGACTTGTATTTTAATTGTTTTTGTACGTGACTGCCAAGTTGCTCCTGATTTGGGGGTTTGTGGTTTGTTTGTTTGTTTGTTTGTTTGTTTTTTTGGTGAGGAAAATCAGCCCTGAGCTAACATCCGAGGCCAATCCTCTCTTTTTTTTGCTGAGGAAGATTGGCCCTGGGCTAACATCTGTGCCCATCTTCCTCTACTTTGTATGGGACACCGCCACAGCATGGCTTGACAACCAGTGCGTTGGTGCGCCCCCAGGATCCAAACCTGCGAACCCAGGGCCGCTGAAGCACTTAACTGCTTGTGCCACCGGACCGGCCCCTTGGGGTTTGTTTGTGGTTTTCTGTTTGTTTGTTTGTTTGTTTGTTTTTTGGTGAGGAAGATTGGCCCCAAGCTTAACATCTGTGCCAGTCTTCCTCTATTTTGTATGTGGGACGCTGCCACAGCATGGCTTGATGAGCGTTGTATAGGTCCGGGCCTGGGATCCAAACCTGCAAACCCCTGGCTGCCGAAGCAGAGTGTGCGAACTTAACCACTACGCCCCCAGGCTTGCCCCAACCCCTGGTTTTCTGAGAACAGGAATCACATCTTAATCTTCTTTGTTCTTCCATAGTGTTTGGAGCAATATGTCCGTTGATTAGGCACTTAGTATATACTT